TTTTTGTATTTTTAGTAGAGATGGGGTTTCACCATGTTGGCCAGGCTGGTCACTGGTCTTGAACTCCTGACCTCAAGTGATCCACCTACCTCAGCCTCCCAAAGTGCTGGGATAAAGGCCATGAGTCACCACGCCCGACCTATATTTTCTTTTAAAAGAGAGAAAAGCACCTTTTTTTTTCCTTGTTTTAAAATCTGGCCATGCGTGATGTGTCATACCTGTAATGCTAGCACTTTGGGAGGCTGAGGCAGGTGGATTGCTTGAGCTCCAGAGTTTGAGACCAGCCTGGGCAACATGGGAAAACCCTGTCTCCACAAAAAATACAAAAATTAGCCGGATAGAGTGGCGCATACCTGTAGTCCCAGCTACTTGGGGGGCTGAGGCAGAAGGACCACCTGAACCCAGGAGGTTGAGGCCGCAGTGAGCCGAAATCGCACCACTGCTGCCTAGGGGACTAAATGAAACCCTCTCAAAAAAAAAAAAAGCAAAAACCAAAAACCAAAAAAAAAAAAAAACCACCCAGGAAAAAATAAAGCATGATATGTACAGTCAGACAACTACTTTATCAGGATTCATTAAGTCATGCATGATTTTTTTTTAAATCAGCAATTAAGGAGCAGATCCTCCAGGTAGAAAGGCTTTTTTTTTTTTTTTTTTTTAAATTTTTATTTATTTTTTTTAAAATTTATTTATTATTATTAAACTTCAAGTTGTAGGGTACATGTGCACAACGTGCAGGTTTGCTACATATGTATACTTGTGCCATGTTGGTGTGCTGCACCCATCAACTCGTCATTTACATCAGGTATAACTCCCAATGCAATCCCTCCCCCCTCCCCCCTCCCCATGATAGGCCCCGGTGTGTGATGTTCCCCTTCCCGAGTCCAGGTGATCTCATTGTTCAGTTCCCGCCTATGAGTGAGAACATGCGGTGTTTGGTTTTCTGTTCTTGTGATAGTTTGCTGAGAATGATGGTTTCCAGCTGCATCCATGTCCCTACAAAGGACACAAACTCATCCTTTTTTATGGCTGCATAGTATTCCATGGTGTATATGTGCCACATTTTCTTAATCCAATCTGTCACTGATGGACATTTGGGTTGATTCCAAGTCTTTGCTATTGTGAATAGTGCTGCAATAAACATACGTGTGCATGTGTCTTTATAGCAGCATAATTTATAATCCTTTGGGTATATACCCAGTAATGGGATGGCTGGGTCATGTGGTACATCTAGTTCTAGATCCTTGAGGAATCGCCATACTGTTTTCCATAATGGTTGAACTAGTTTACACTCCCACCAACAGTGTAAAAGTGTTCCTATTTCTCCACATCCTCTCCAGCACCTGTTGTTTCCTGACTTTTGAATGATCGCCATTCTAACTGGTGTGAGATGGTATCTCATTGTGGTTTTGATTTGCATTTCTCTGATGGCCAGTGATGATGAGCATTTTTTCATGTGTCTGTTGGCTGTATGAATGTCTTCTTTTGAGAAATGTCTGTTCATATCCTTTGCCCACTTTTTGATGGGGTTGTTTGTTGGTTTTTTGAAAAGATCAACAAAATTGACAGACCACTAGCAATACTAATAAAGAAGAAAAGAGAGAAGAATCAAATCGATGCAATTAAAAATGATAAAGGGGATATCACCACCGACCCCACAGAAATACAAACTACCATCAGAGAATACTATAAACACCTCTACGCAAATAAACTGGAAAATCTAGAAGAAATGGATAATTTCCTGGACACTTACACTCTTCCAAGACTAAACCAGGAAGAAGTTGAATCCCTGAATAGACCAATAGTAGGCTCTGAAATTGAGGCAATAATTAATAGCCTACCAACCAAAAAAAGTCCAGGACCAGATGGATTCACAGCTGAATTCTACCAGAGGTACAAGGAGGAGCTGGTACCATTCCTTCTGAAACTATTCCAATCAATAGAAAAAGAGGGAATCCTCCCTAACTCATTTTATCAGGCCAACATCATCCTGATACCAAAGCCTGGCAGAGACACAACAAAAAAAGAGAATTTTAGACCAATATCCCTGATGAACATCGATGCAAAAATTCTCAATAAAATACTGGCAAACCGGATTCAGCAGCACATCAAAAAGCTTATCCACCATGATCAAGTGGGCTTCATCCCTGGGATGCAAGGCTGGTTCAACATTCGCAAATCAATAAACATAATCCAGCATATAAACAGAACCAAAGACAAGAACCACATCATTATCTCAATAGATGCAGAAAAGGCTTTTGACAAAATTCAACAGCCCTTCATGCTAAAAACGCTCAATAAATTCGGTATTGATGGAACGTACCTCAAAATAATAAGAGCTATTTATGACAGACCCACAGCCAATATCATACTGAATGGGCAAAAACTGGAAAAATTCCCTTTGAAAACTGGCACAAGACAGGGATGCCCTCTCTCACCACTCCTATTCAACATAGTGTTGGAAGTTCTGGCTAGGGCAATCAGGCAAGAGAAAGAAATCAAGGGGATTCAGTTAGGAAAAGAAGAAGTCAAATTGTCCCTGTTTGCAGACGACATGATTGTATATTTAGAAAACCCCATTGTCTCAGCCCAAAATCTCCTTAAGCTGATAAGCAACTTCAGCAAAGTCTCAGGATACAAAATTAATGTGCAAAAATCACAAGCATTCTTATACACCAGTGACAGTCAAACAGAGAGCCAAATCAGGAATGAACTTCCATTCACAATTGCTTCAAAGAGAATAAAATACCTAGGAATCCAACTTACAAGGGATGTAAAGGACCTCTTCAAGGAGAACTACAAACCACTGCTCAGTGAAATCAAAGAGGACACAAACAAATGGAAGAACATACCATGCTCATGGATAGGAAGAATCAATATCGTGAAAATGGCCATACTGCCCAAGGTAATTTATAGATTCAATGCCATCCCCATCAAGCTACCAATGAGCTTCTTCACAGAATTGGAAAAAACTGCTTTAAAGTTCATATGGAACCAAAAAAGAGCCCGCATCTCCAAGACAATCCTAAGTCAAAAGAACAAAGCTGGAGGCATCACGCTACCTGACTTCAAACTATACTACAAGGCTACAGTAACCAAAACAGCATGGTACTGGTACCAAAACAGAGATATAGACCAATGGAACAGAACAGAGTCCTCAGAAATAATACCACACATCTACACCCATCTGATCTTTGACAAACCTGAGAGAAACAAGAAATGGGGAAAGGATTCCCTATTTAATAAATGGTGCTGGGAAAATTGGCTAGCCATAAGTAGAAAGCTGAAACTGGATCCTTTCCTTACTCCTTATACGAAAATTAATTCAAGATGGATTAGAGACTTAAATGTTAGACCTAATACCATAAAAATCCTAGAGGAAAACCTAGGTAGTACCATTCAGGACATAGGCATGGGCAAAGACTTCATGTCTAAAACACCAAAAGCAACGGCAGCAAAAGCCAAAATTGACAAATGGGATCTCATTAAACTAAAGAGCTTCTGCACAGCAAAAGAAACTACCATCAGAGTGAACAGGCAACCTACAGAATGGGAGAAAATTTTTGCAATCTACTCATCTGACAAAGGGCTAATATCCAGAACCTACAAAGAACTCCAACAAATTTACAAGGTAGAAAGTCTTTTAGTGTCCCAAGAATTGTGAAGAGAAAACTCACTTTAGGAATAGCGACTACTTTGGGAACATTGGCTATATTATGGTTACACAATATTATTAAGTGATTTTGTGTTCAAAAGGAATACCTTTTTCTTCTTATAGGTTGTGGGTTAGGCAAACACCATCATTGAAAGTAACTGTTTATCCTTTGTATACTGAATAAATGTATTTAGAGGAATGAGGAGTAAGCATATTTTGATTAACATTTTAAAAGCCTTGGAAATAATGAAGTGTTGTAAGCCTTTCTTTGAAAGGTACATTATGTTCTTTATAATTTTCTGATAGTGTAGAGGGGCTTCGATTGACTGGTTCCTTCTTATTGAGTCATAAAATATTCCTGAATTTTATTTTTTATGAATACAGATTTTATTTGCTAGATCTTTAAGTGCCTTGGGATATTCTTGTGTAAGACTGTGTATATGTGTGTGGCTTCTTTTCTTTTTTCTTTGCTAAATTACTTAAGATTCATAGATTTATGTTTGATAGTGTAAATTAGATAATGTAAATTTTTGTTGCATTTTTAAAAACATCTATACTATGATCAGTACAAATTTTAATTAAGCTTTAAACATCAAAATATTTGGGCTTATATCTCTTTGTTAGGCTGCAGCCTCTCTTTAAGCAATAAGATTTCTCAGCTTTTGTTAAAGACCTGAAATTTACTTGCAGTGAGAAAAGAGACCAAGATTTATTCTGGACAGAGCATAAACACCATCACTGGAGTCAGGACCTATATAGATGGTGAACTGTAATGCTTTGGATCTACAGAATGAAGCTTGATACCTAAGGAATATCAAGTTATTTAGCAGACAAATTTCTTGTACCAATTTAGAGTCAATCTTAGGAGTAGATAGTATGGTAGGGAAAAGTCTGGCTTTGTGTGAATAGACTTGACTTACTAGCTGAGGACAATAACTTTATCTGAATTCTCTCGGTAGTAAAATAAGTATTATGACCCTCACCAAGTAGAACTACCTTGAGAATTAGAGAAAAAATATATTTATTTACATAAGCCCTCAATAAGTGATAGCTCATTGTTTTTATCATGATCATCATCATAATTCTTACTCCTGCTTTCAAATGCCTCCATTTTAAATTTTCTGTAAAATTATTTGTTAGCTAAGAAATGGCATTATGCAATACACTAGGCAGCTTTTAATAGCAATACAGAATTTGAAAGGTGATTTCTTTGGACACAAGGCTTTGAGATATGGTAAGTATATATGATTTACATGAGCTGGGCTTTCTTTCCCTTCTGGGATGTTAGGCAATACAACTTTTAAACTGATTTACTTTTATTCATTGTCTTTGCTTTTATTTGCAGTTCTGGGAAATGCCAGTGCAAAGTGGGTGTCATTGGCTCTACATGTGACCGATGCCAAGATGGATATTATGGCTTTAGTAAGAATGGCTGCTTGCCGTGCCAGTGCAATAATCGGTCTGCCAGTTGTGATGCCCTCACAGGTACATACTTTCCTTAGCTTTGTCATGTAATTATTCCACTGTTCTTTTCATTTGGAAATCTTTCAGCTATAGGTTGATTCTTCTGAAATAGTTTGGAAGGGTCTTTATCTTCTAAGTAGGATATAATAGATCGCAGCAAGCCAAACTCCTGCTACAACAAACTTGAAAAAGTACGTAAATTAAAAAAAAAAAAATATATATATATATACACACACACACATATATATATGTATGTATACACACACCTATGGAGACAAGGAGAACTATAGGAACTACAATTCCAGAAAGGTTGGAACTCTGCCTAGGTAAACTGATGATCACCAGCCATTGTCTTTCCAGGGGACATTTGCTGATTCCGAGCATAGGCAAAGAATGAGCTAGATCCAAGCAAAGGAATTCTTCTTTAGGAAAGAGATACAAGAAATGTTTTTGGCAGTCATTTAAGGCTTGAATAATGGTTGGAAACAAGAGGATCCCTAAACACAAGGCCAGCTTTTCCACAGGATATTAGCTGACTATGCAGAAGATGGAAGGCTGGGCCAGAAAGGTAGAAAAAAATCTCTTTCTCTTTCAGTCTTGTGCTGAGGAGACAAAATCCCTTTAGAAAGAGAGGGCCTGCTATGACGTTCAATTATCTCCCCCTCAAGATGTTCTCAGACTCTGAAAGTGCATGCAGTGGGACCTAGGCTCAAATTATCAAAGGCCGATACAGATCTCTCACAGTCTTTTAGGGCCAAGGAGACACAGGCTTGCTGGGCTCTCAATCAAAAGCTTTAGAGGGCCATGACCAATAAATAGTAAGGAATCAGAAGTTGATTAACTCATACTAAAATTATAGTCCACCCTCAGGCCGCCTCAACTTCCGATTGGATTGAAGTAATTCTCTCATTATATCTGCCTAATCGATGAAAGGGGAGCCCTCTCTGGTTCTTTTATATGCTGTGTCCGGCATACAGTAAAAAATACTAGACAATGCAAAGACAGAAAAATGTGACCAGTACCAAAGAGAAAAAAATGAACAATGGAAGCAGGCCCTTAGGTGATCTAGATGTTAGAGTTAGCATAGAAAGACTTAACTAAAATTTGTATTTTCATACAATAGAGGGAAAATCAGACAAAATAGGTGAAGAGAGGAAAAATTTCAATAGAAATTGGAATCTCAAAAAAATCAAATGAACAAACTAGAACTGAAAAATACAACATGTGAATTAATAACTCATTGCATTAATCTAACAGTAAATTGTACACAGTGAAGACAAAGTTAGTAGACTTGAATACAGTACAGTTAAAAACATCCAAACTGAAGCATTTCGAGAAAATATAATGGGAAGAACAGAGCAGGGAAGATGTGGGACACAGACAAAAGGTTTAGCATAAATGTAATTGGAGAGCTAAAAAGAGAAGAAAGAGATATTGGGTCACAGTAATATCTGAAGAGAAAATGGCCAGGAATTTTCCAAATTGATTAAAGGCATCAACCCACAGATTCAGAAAGCTCAGCAAACCCTAAGCAGTATAAAAACAAAGAAAACCACATTTAGGCAAACTTAGTCAAACTATTAAAAACTAAAGCCAATTAACTTCTGATCTTAGTTTTCCTAAATGTGAGGATTAAGTATCCTTCCTTGGAAACATTTTTTTTCCCCAAACAAACAAACAAAAAAATCAGGACACACTAGTCTGACAAGTGTTTTTAAGAGAACAGGGTGGCAAAATATTTGAAGTTGAAAGTACCCTGGAAAAATCAGTTGAAAGTTTATTCTTCATTCAAATACTCTATAGTGAAACAAATTGATTTAGAAGAAATTGTATTTTTTTTTCTTTTATGTGATCTTGTCCCTGCCTATTTGCCAGTTTTATCTTCTGGTGTTCTTTTTCTTTACATCTGTGATCCAGTCACACTGATTTCTAAAACAAGGCATGTTCCCTGCTTCCAGGGTTCTCATATATGATCTTTCCTCTGCCAAGAATGGTTTTTCTAATCCACCTCTACCTCCATCCTTGACCTCTCTGCCTTATTAAATCATATTCTTCCCTCGGGTCATCAATTAAAGGCCACTTCATCAGGAAGCATTTCCTGATGCTCTAGGCTTAATGGTAATGTCCCTATTATATGCTCTCACATATACTTGTATTTTTTTCATAGCACTTTTCACAATTTGTAATTGTATACTTATTTGTGGTTCTGAGTCACATGGCTCACTCATGAGGGCAAGAACAGTTTTTTTTTTCACCATTGTATACACAATCTCTAGCATGGAGCTTTAGCATATAGTAACTGCTCACTAAATTTTTATCAAATAAATGAACAAATGAATGGAAAGACATACAGAGGAAAAATGATTTTTTTTTTTTTGAGACGGAGTCTCACTCTGTCCCCCTGTTCCCCTCAGCTCACTGCAAGCTCCGCCTCCCAGGTTTACGCCATTCTCCTGCCTCAGCCTCCCGAGTAGCTGGGACTACAGGCACCTGCCACCTCGCCCGGCTAGTTTTTTGTATTTTTTAGTAGAGACGGAGTTTCACCGGGTTAGGCAGGATGGTCTCGATCTCCTGACCTCATGATCTGCCTGTCTCGGCCTCCCAAAGTGCTGGGATTACAGGCTTGAGCCACCGCGCCCGGCCTAGGAAAAATGATTTTCAATACTGGGTAACAATAGGAATACTTCATTATACTGAGCTGATTAAAATTACTCCCTAGATCTTTTACAGTACCAAAAAGCAGTCTACATTGCTGATTCTCAGTTTTAATTTTTCTTACAGCAATGAGGCCACTCTCTTTGCTGTCATGTAAGTGCTGACCTGTCCTTGATCTGGAGATAATTTAAGGCAAAATAATTCTTTTTCATGGTTATGGTTTCTAAAAGCAGCTAGTAGTGAGAGAAATAAATGGTTTCTTTGTTTGGAATTATAATAAAAGTGGAATCCAACATGAAGGAGTGCAAATACTTTATTTAAAATTACAAGCTTTATATAAAACCACTCGTCAAGTGTCTTTATTTTCAACAGTGCTGTGATAAGGTTGCCCTCTGGTGGCCACTTACTACGTTTTTACAGTCCTATTTTCACCCCCTCTACTGTTTTTCTATTCCTTCTGTTTTAGATTGAAGTAGATTTTCAAAGTACTCTTTTTTTGTGGTAAAATGTATTTGGATAAACATTTTGGAAAGCAATTTGATAGTAAGTATTAGAAATCTTAAAAATTCTTCTTTGATCCGGTAATTCTATTTCCAGGAATCTATTCTAAGGAAAGAATTCTAAATTCATAAGAAGCTTATGTTCAAAGATGCTCACCAAAGTGGTAGTTACAATTTTAGAAAGTTAGACAACCCAGTTTCTCACAATAGGGTATGAAATAAATACTGTTATCTAGGCAGTATGTTATTAAAAACACAGAAAACCAAATGTTGACCTTACATTGGGCAAGTTACTTAATCTGTTTCTTCACCTATAAATTTGATATAATAGCAGTAACTGCCTAGTGGGTTGTTGTGAAGATTAAATGCAATACATTAGTAGAGCCTTCATATAGTGTCTGATGCATCACAAGTAATCAGTAAATGGTAACTGTTATTACATTCTCGATAAAATGTTTTATTTTGGTTTTTTCTGAGATGGAGTTTCACTCTTATTGTCCAGGCTGGAGTACAGTTGCTCTGTCACTTAGGCTGGAGTGCATGACACGATCTTGGCTCACTGCAACCTCTGCCTCCTGGGTTCAAGTGATTCTCTTGCCTCAGCCTCCTGAGTAGCTGGGATTACAGGCGCCCACCATCATGCCCAGCTAACTTTTTTTTGTATTTTTAGTAGAGACGGGGTTTTGCCATGTTGGGCAGGCTGGTCTCAAACTCCTGACCTCAGGTGATCCGCCTGCCTCGGCCTCCTAAAGTGGTGGGGTTACAGGTATGAACCACTGTGCCTGGCTGATAAAATGTTTTAAAGAATAATGTATAGCAATATGAGAAAGTGAAAGAAGCAAGGTATAAAATGACATATGCCATATAATTAGACTAGTTAAAAAACAAAAGCCAAACCCCTGTAAATGACGAAAGATTACAAAGAGAAGTACTAAAAATCTGTGGGGTTTTTTTTTTTTCTTTTTTCTTTTTTTGAGACTGAGTCTTGCTCTGTCATTCAGGCTAGAGTGCATGGCATGATCTTGGCTCACTGCAACCTCTGCCTCCCAGGTTCAAGCGATTCTCCTGCTTCAGCCTCCCAAGTAGCTGGGATTGCAGGCACCCACCATCACATGCCTGGCTAATTTTTGTATTTTTAGTAGACATGGGGTTTCACCATGGTGGCCAGGCTTGTCTTGAACTCCTGACCTTAGGTGATTCACCCATCTCGGCCTCCCAAAGTCCTGGGATTACAGTCTTGAGCCACGGAGCCCAGCCTAAAAATCTTAATGAGAGATTTCCTAGGATTATTTTTTACCCCTTTCTACTCCTGTATTTTTCCAGATTTTCTTTATTAAGCACGTTTCCCTTAAAATGGAGGTGGAGGGATATTATTTTTAAAACTGGAACTTTATGTTCATATAATATATTTCCTTTGAAAATCCAGTGTACCTTTATGTATTCATAGTGTCCTATGATGAGTAACTTGACCTGAGTAGCTTGACTGAGTTGACTAATCTACTCCCCAGTGATACTTACTTCAGGGTATCATGCTTTCCTGGTTTTTGTGCTACCTAACCAGCTTTTCCTTCTTATTAGTTCTACTATATCTTCCTCAGTTCAACTACAAGCATTGGAGTGCCTCAGGGCTCAGAGCTTGTCACGTTTGTCTTTGCCATTTAAACTTTCTCCCTAAGTGGTCTCATTCAGTCCCCTGGATTTAATTTGTATTTGTTTGTTTGTTTTAGCTCATTTTCTCCCTTAACCCTGGATTTAATTTAAATGCCATCTATATATGTGCTTATTATCAGATTTACATTTCTCCCTTGATCTCCGCACTCAAATATCCAACAGTCAGATATCCACTTGACATCTTCACTTGAATGT